TCTATGCATAAAACTCCAAAGAACAAACAAAAAACTCCTGAGACTAATAAAACATTTGTAGCAAAGTGGCAGTTTGCAAAATTAGTATGCAAACATCAACACCTTCCTATATACCAGCAATGAGCAATTGGAATTTGAAATTAAAAACATAATGCAATTTAAATTAGCAACAAAAATAAAATACTTGGGTATAAATTTGACAAAATATATACAAGATCTAATGAAGAAAACTACAAGATAAAAGAAATCAAAGAATGAAATAAATGTAGAGATATTCCATGTTCATGGATAGAAAAACTCGATATTGTCAAGATGGCAATTTCCCCCAATTTGATCTATACATTGAATGGAATCCCAGTAAAAATTCCACAAAGTTATCTAATGGATATTGACAAACTGATTTAAAAATACATATGGTCAAAAGACCCAGAATAGCCAACACAATATTGAAGGAGGAAACCAAAGTTGGAGGACTGACATCGATTTACTCTAAAGCTACATTAATCAAGTCAGTGTAGTATTGGTGAAAGAATAGGCCAATCAATTCAATGGAACAGAATAGACAGCCCAGAAATAGACCATATAAATATGGTCAACTGATTGTTGACAAAGGAGCAAAAGCAACAAGATGGAGAAAAGATAGTCTTTTCAACAAATGATGCTAGAACTGGACATCTAAATGCAAAACAAAAAACAAAACAAAACAAAAACCTAGATAGATTTTTACACACTTCACAAAAATTAATCCCAAATGGATCCTATATCTAAATGTAAACCACAAAACAATAAAACTCCTATCAGGTAACATAGGAAAAAACTTAGATTACCTTGAGTTTGGTGATTACTTTTTAGATACAACACTAAAGGCACAATTCATAAAAGAAATAATTGATAAGCTGGACTTCAATAAAATTAAATTTTTCTGCTCTGCAAAAGAATGAGAAGGGCCAGCTGAGTGGCGCAGTGGTTAAGAACTGGCTTGGGACGCCAGAGGGCCCCGGTTCGGATCCCACATATGAGGGCCAGTGACACTGCCCTCTACAGATAAGATGCTGAACAACAGCTCAACCTGGAGCTGGGCTGCCGTGAGTCGCCGGCGACGGTGTAGGCTGCAGCCACTGCTGCAGTGGGTTGCCATGGGCTACCGTGTGCAGCCAGCAGCCAGCGTGAGTGGTCGTCCAGAAGCCAGCGACTAATCTGCCTCGCCGGGGAAGAGCGCAGTGATGATGCCAACTTGGGCCAGTGAAGCAAAGTCCTCCACAACTAAGACTGAAGAACAAAAAGGCAGCAACATGTCTGTTCCCCTTCCCCTAATTCCCCAGCGCTGTTCCCATCCCCCAATTCCCCAATAAAAATCTTAAAAAAAAAAAGAAAGCTAACTTTCATCTATGATCGACATATCCCAAAATGTATTAAAAAAAAATAGGCAAAATATCTGGTCACCTCACCGAAAAAGGTACACAGATGACAAATGTGCATATGAAAAGATGCTCTACATCATGTAATTAGGGAATTGCTGCCGCGTCCCACGCAGCAAGGGCAGTGGGGAGCAAGTGGGGCGGCACAGGGTTAAAGAAACACAAGAGTCAAGCATAGAGTTAAAGCGAGGTCAGGGGGCTGCAGTCTCTCTGGGACTGAGCCCCGAATCGGGCCAATGCATAGCTTGTATTGAGAAACTTCAAATAAGTGAAGCTTGTTTTTTCTAAAGTCCTTGTGATAAATGCCTTATGGCTGCTTTCCATCAACCAGCCCCACTGTATTCCAACACCTGTTGTGCCTTTATACTCCCACACATACACAACCCCCAGGATGGTGCAGCTGTACCGCGGCCATGAAAATAAGGGAGATAACCGACATCATTCCGTCGGGTCTCAGCATTCCGAGACACTCCCTTGAGGAAGCTTTACAGATCTCTTTCCACCGGGTCTCAGCATTCGGAGACACGTCCTCATGACCTCATTAGGTCAGGGGTTGGTGTGGGGGGGCAGTCGAGGATGTAGCTGTAAGGTAACAGATTGCAAATTAAAAGGATGAGAGGGCCGGCCGAGTGGCGTGGTGGTTAAGAACTGGCTTAGGACGCCAGAGGGCCCCAGTTCGGATCCCACATATGAGGGCCAGTGACACTGCCCTCTGCAGCTGGGATGCTGGGCAATGGCTCGACCTGGAGCTGGGCTGCCATGAGTCGCCGGTGACGGCGTAGGCTGCAGCCCCTGCTGCAGTGGGTTGCCATGGGCTGCCGTGTGTAGCCAGCAGCCAGCGTGAGCGGCCGTCCAGAAGCCAGCGACTGATCTGCCTCGCCTGGGAAGAGCGCAATGATGGTGCCAACTTGGGCCAGTGAAGCAACGTCCACAACTAGATTGAAGAACAAAACGACAGCAAGTTGTCTGTTCCCCTTCCCCCAGTTCCCCACCGCTGTTCCCATCCCCCCAATTCCCCAATTAAAAAAAAAATCTTAAAAAAAATAAAAGGATGAGATACCACTATACAATTATCAGAATGGTGAAAATCCAAAAACACTGACAATAAATGCTGACAAGAATGTGGAGCAACAGCAACTCTCATTCACTGCTGATGGGAATGCAAAATTGAACAGCTTTTTGTTCTTCTCCTTTAAGTCTCAGGCCCCTTTGATCCTGAGAAAGGTTAAAGGATGGGCTGTTTCCATGTCCCAGACTGTGTACAGGGACTAGAAATGGTTTTGGAGGGCACAGCACCCTGGTGAACTCTAAGGGGTTATCCAGGGGGAAAAGTGGGGTTCTTTCTGAGAACAAGAGACCTAAGAAGGGATTCCTGGCTCTTGGGGAGACAGGCAAGAATTTAAGATTTAGTTGAGAGCGATGGTACTTTCTGTTCAGTTGTTTGAGTCATGGACAAACGCTTAGTGTGAAAATTATGATATTGGAAATATTATATCCATTGGTTTGAAAAATTTAACAGTAAGCTTGCTTACTAAGTTTTCCCTTAAAAGTGCAGTGTATCCAAATAGTATAAAGCTTAATTTTTTGTGTTAGTGTTAAGATTGGTACAACTCAGGTCCATCATCGAGTATGGTAGAAATGAGAAGTGATTCTGATAGTTTTCATAAATCTGAAACTCAATATAAGACAAGAGCTTGCTTACTTAATTCCTCTCATGAGATGTAGATGGGGGGTATTGCTTTTAGTGCAGGCATCAGATATGGGTGAATCATATGGGAGGAAAGCCCTATGGATACTTGACTGTGGAAAGCACTTCAGTATGGCCCAGTATTGTTGACCACTGGAGAAGTCACACACGAAGGAAACCCTATACATATACTGAGTTTGGTAGATGCTTCAAATGGTGCTCCACACTTGCTCCCCACTGAACCCACACAAGAAACAATAGTGACAAATGTGGAAAAGATTCAGTTAACAATATGCTTGTGTACTTGTTTGGAAAGAACCCTGGAAACATAAGAGTGTGGGTAAAGCTTCAACATTTCCTACTTGAGGGCCCTTCAGAGACTGTATACAGGACAGAACCCACACAACAAATTTGAGACCTGCAGCAAATAATCCACTCTAAGCAGTAGAGGCAAAGCCCCTGAAAGAAAACAGGCAGCCTGATCCATTACACTAGAGTGGAAACTGTGGAAGGTGCTCAGTAAGCACTTGTCAGTGGAGTGACTTAGTGAATGCTTAAAAAATCTTTTATGAAGCTTAAATCTTTTGTGTCATCCCAACTGTGCAATTGGATAGAAAAGGCTGCTTAGCATCCTTCCTCTCAGCTCTCCAGGAGAATTGAACTGTTCTCATTATTCCAAAAACCGATCAAAACATTAGCAGTTTGGTTTAGATTTATTCCAAGCTCTCCTCCTGTCGTGTCCCTCCAGTTAAAAGACAGCCGAAGTTCTCAAGGTCCCAGAGTGTGCTTAATGGCAGGGAAAGCTCTGTGGCCACATAGACCTGTGCAGTGAAAGGGTTGAGGATTTGCGGGCTAGCCTGGATCAATAATCCAGCACTCAGAACCAACCTTGAAGCCATTGTAAGACTGTTATCTGAACAAACGAAAATAAAGCCATTCTGGTTTGTCCTAGCAATCTGGTAATGGAAAACATATTTGTGAGGCCTCTAATACTAATATTGGAGACTAAACATAGGGCTGTGTCTCAGATTTCCTTTTTAAAACAAGCCTCGATTTTGATTTTGTTGTCTTTTTTTTATTATTAATCTGCTCTCATCCCTGTGATGAAGCTATAGAAGTCCCTTCTTCCAACTTCCACCCCAAATTCCAAGCATAAGTAGTTGGAGACATGTGCTGCTGGTTATTGGTAAGCTAGGACGTTCCCACTGGAGGCTTCCCACTCACCAAATGAAGTGTCCTGCTCCTGCTTTCCTGCTCAAGCTTCTTCTCAACTGTCATCCTTTAGTCCAGGAAGAGCAGCCACGTTCCTCTCAACATCTGGAAAATTTGCTTCTACCCTTGTCTCATGTTTTTTGAGGCACACTCGCAGAAGGTACTACAAGGGCAGTTACCAAACCATTGCTTGAAGTCTACTGTACTCACATGAGGAATGAAAGGCAACCCTACCCTCTCCTTAGCCCATGGATCAAGAAACACATCTTGTGCATGTGTGGCAGTGGAGCACAAGGGCACAGAGAACAAGGAAAAAGGACTAAAGCCACAGAGGGAGGAGAAAAGGTTGCCTTGTCCATTTGAACTCCCCAGGATTTATTCCCTGGTAAGCAACCAGTCTTCCTTTAATATCACCTATTGTCTTGTAAGCTGCTTAGTGTTCCTATCAGTGTAACATCAGTTCAGGGGAGCATCTAGAGGAATCTAGACTTCACCTAGGGCCAAAGTCCAGGTGGAATGAAAAAAAAAGTTTCTGAAGCTCTAGTATTGGGTTGTTGGAAAAGTCATGATGTATTTTTGTTTTTCATTGCAAAAATGCGTCATGGCTTTTCCAACAACCCAATAGACTAGCCACCTCTATTAAGACAGGCTAGGTTATACCGCAGAAACATACAGCACCAACATTTCAGTGGTTAAACAAACTAATTTATTTCTCGTTCCCACAAAGTCCATTATATGCCTGGCCAGGACAGCTAACCAAATATGTGAGGACTCAGCATTCCAGACTGGTTTGATCTCATGGCTCCTCTCTCTGTTTGCACTCCCATGATTGAGGCAGGAAAACAGAGCACTAGTCTTACACCAACAAATAAATGCTTTAGCCCAGAAGTAAGTCTTCTGCTTACAACCCATTGACCTAAACCACCTCATGACCCTATCTAACTGCAAGGAGCAGAAAAGCATAACCATTCTCCTTTTTACTATTCACTAGAATACAAGTTCCATGAGAGTATGCATTTTCTCTTTTGTTCATTACTGTATTCTCGGTCTAGAACAGTGCCTGGGCACAAAATAGGCCCTCATTAAATTAATGAATGTGCTACAAGAAATTCACATGTATCTTAGAAGAGACAGAGTCCTAGGGATCTAAGAATGAGAGTGCTGGATAAGAGCTATGCAGACCAGAGTGCCAGCCTTGGCTGTGCTTAAGAAATACTACTTGGTGTAGCTCATTTTGGGGAAGAAAATAAAATCCCGCAGAGCTTACCAGACTAAAGCTCAGGTGACTTACACCAAATAGCACTTAAACCATAGACCAAATCAAGTCAGCATAGCCACTACCACCAGTGCTCAGCTCCTCAGAGGAGCTGCAAGAGCCACAAATGCATCTGCTTCTTTAATGCAATCAACCCTCCCAACATATCTGGGGAGCAGGGGACAGGGAAAGAAGTGCACATTCCTTGAGCATCTACTGTTGGCCAGACTGGTAGGCGCTTCTTTTATGAATCCCTGTAATCCCCAGATCAACCCTGAGATGTTTCTCTATTTCAGAGAAAATGGAGACTGAAGAGTGTTTCAGTAACCAATCAAGAAACAGGAATGTTTTATAAGCTAGAAATAGATACAATACAATGTCATCCAGGCTGGCTCTGCAGGGATAACATATAAATCAGTCCTGCTAACCCTGCCTTCATTAGGCCTGTCTAATGAAGCTAAGTGACAGCCAACAGACCCACTAGCTATTGGGTCTTGAACAAGTCCCTATGTGTCTTTGAGCCTTAATGTCTTCATTTATAAAATAAAGGATTTGGAAGAGATTATTTAAATCCTTCCCTGATACTACTTTAAAGTTCTAATAGGAACACATTTGAGTCACTGTTATAGATAAAGAGTAAGTTATATAAGAAAACCCACAGACCAGAGAGATTTTTGGCAGTCTATCAAACTTATCACCTAATGCTACTGCTAAATGGAGGGCTGGAGAAAACTGGTAGACCCTGTCTGCTTAAAAGTTTACAGTGTAAGAGAACCAACATGGACGTGGATTTGCCAACATTTACCCATCACTCAGCATCAGTTCCCAAAACTTTCCTTTTGGAAACTTAGTCTCCTGCTGACTGGATTTCCAGGTGACCATGCCCAGTGAACCAAGGATCCTGCCTGCAGGACACGCTCCACTTCCCAGACAAATATATAACTCTCTCCTGATTCTTAAACAAAAGCCAAATGAAAAAGCAAGCAAACAAAAAATTGAGAAGCTAATCCTGAACTTCCCTTAATTTTCTTTCAGGGTAAGTGCTACTTTTTATGGCATTTCATCCTATTAACATTGGAAGGAAAAAAAGTCTACTTTGTTATTGCAGAAAATTCTTCATTATATCTAATATATATTCTGTGGCTAAAAGTTCCAACCCGTTTCCATATGATCTCATTAGAAATGTTTTCACTTTTGTCAAAGAGCACTAACAAAAGATATAAGAGTGCATTATTAGTTATCTGGCAGATTCCCTAGTGGGGAAGTAAATATTATTTATCATAATAAAAATTGCGCTAAAACGACCCAAAAGCTAAAGTTGCTAAAAAGGTCAAAAAGGAACTCGTATGATGTCCAAGAACAAGAGAAAAAAAGAAATTCCAATTTGATTCTTGGAAACTTTTGCGGTAGATTTCTGCCCCATGAGGCTACTGAAATTAGTAAGCCTGCTACCTTGATGACAATGGAATGCAGTAAAACAAGTATATTATAGCTTTTGTTATGAAGACCATGCTACAAATGCTTCTGTCATATGTGTTTAAGAGTAGCTGGGGAGATCAATGCAAAACCAACACTATTTACGTCAGTGACCACTGAAGACTGATTTATCAGATTCATGGCTGCATCTGCTATTTGAAGTTGAATTTGCTATTTTGCCAGGTAGAATCCCAAACAGCTTTTCCCACTATTCAGAATGTTCTTAGAATACCTCTCTCTTGCAAAGAAATTCCCTGAAAGTTATACGTAAAAACAGAAAGTAGTTCAAATTTAGTGCATCCCCTTGCCCTCGAGTCAAGCTTGATTCCTTTCTATGAAACGTTTATATCCTGAACTTTTTCCACTGATGGAAAATTCTTCATGCTTCATAATTTTGTATTTTTTTATGAACTTTAGGGTCAAGCTCCGCTTGGTAAATTTGTTGAGACTGAGGACACTGGACAAGCTTCCCTTCATTGGTGGAGTTTCTGATGTCTAAGAAGGCTTGACCGCCTGCTGAAGTTTCTCTTGCATATACTACAGGAATAAGGCTGCTCACCTGTGTGAGTTCTCCGGTGTTTAATAAGGTGGGAGTTCTGACTGAATTTTTTCCCACATTCATGACACGTAAAGGGCTTCTCTCCAGTGTGAGTTCTTTGGTGTGTGTGGAGATTTGAATTTTGACTAAAGCTTTTCCCACACCATGAGCATTTATATGGTTTTATTCCTTGGTGTGTCGTTAAGTGCTTATTAAGATCTGAACTCCATCTAAACCTCTTATCACACTGTGGACACTTATACGGTTTCTCTTCAGTGTGAATTCTTTTGTGCTTAATAAGGTCAGAGCTGACTCTGAAGCTTTTCCCACATTCCTGGCATTTAAAAGGCTTCTCTCCCGCACGATCTTTCTTGTGACGAACCATGAGTTTCAGCAGCTCTTGTTTCCAAGTTGAAAGTTTCCTTCTTTTCTTCACTGGAAAATCTCGGTGCCATTTCCCCACCCTGTGCATTTCACTATGATTTTCTTTGCCTGTTGTTTTCTGGGGAACTTTTACACTGGCCTTTTTAGATATTACGTTTCCTGGTGCTTGTATTTCTAAGTCAGAAAGGCATATTGGCTGATGATTTTCAGTGTTATTTTTGAGGTTTAATCCTGTTAAAATGAATGTAAGAATTAACCACCTGAATGGTAGAGCAAGAAAACTACAGGAATGGAGAGAAAAATTTAAAGAACACTGATTTTAATAAACACATAAGTAGAATCTTAAAATGCTAAGCCTTGCAAAGGTTCCTATCAAGGTACATGGTGTATTTACCTGTAGGCCGCGCTCCAGGACTGTCCTTCAAATTCGGGGATCCTGGAACCCATGGCTCTTCCCCTTGCTCTAGACAGGAGATCACCTTAGGTTTCGGAAGCACAAATATGGCTGTGAAATGGAAAAACTGAGGTGTCACAGTGGATCCATAATTCCGGACTATTTCAGGAAGAGCAAAAGACACCTTTACATCGTGTTATCTCAAATAGTTTAAATGATTAGACTCTCATATCAGGTATCAGGTTTACACTGTACTGAATTCGTAGGTAGACATACACAGTGGAGGCTGAGAAATCATCCTAGCTTGACTGATTGAAAGATCATAGGGCATGGGAATCGTGAGCATGTTCTGTTCTTTTGCCACCAAGAATACCCCTTATTTGACCAAGGTGGAACAAAACTCTATAGGTTGCAGGGACTACAGGCTGGTCCTATTAACTCTTTAGGACTCACCCTGAATAAGACCAGGGCTAGAAGAGCCAATGTGAAATTCAGTGGGTTGGGTATCATATACACAAGTGATTCCTGTCATAATGACAGCAATTTTTTATCCAGCATTAGAGCGCTAGACATTTGACTAGTAAGGATTGCTACCACTCCTATAGCTTACTGGTTCACATCTCACTGGACCAAACAGACCAGAATCACTTTAGTGGACTTTTTAAAGATACAAATTGCCAGGTGTGGGAAGCACTCAGCATTCAGTCTTTCCAAAGATATATACTGAGTGGCTATGGCATGTCAGGCACTCTCTATGAACTAGGGATATAGTGGGGAATGAGCCGAAGTCTACCAATCTCATAGAACTTAGGTTCTAATGAAAGTGAGACGTTCAAACATCAGTAAATCAATGAAATGTCAGGAAGTGATAAACGCTTTAAAAGAAACTAAAGAAGGGTAAGGGGGCATTTAAGATTCTGCTCTGTGAAGCTATCTGAGATAAGCCTATGTGAAAGGCCTCTCTGAGAAAGTGATATTTGAGCAGACCTAATAGTGAGAATTTAGACATGTGGCAGAAAAGTTGCCAAGAAGAGGAAAGGGGAGAGTAGAAACAAGCATGGCAAGTTCAAGAAACAGCAAGACTTAGACCAGTGCAAATAGGAAGGGAACGAGTGGCAGCAGATGAGGGCAGGGAGGTGAGCAGAGGCCACATACTGGAGGCTCCTTGGTAAAGAGAAGTTTGGATTTTATTCTGAATGTCATGAAACATCATCGTAAGATTTTGAAACAGGAAAATACCATGATTTGATATGGTTTAAATAGACTGGCTGTTACATGGAAAACAGACTGTGGGAGGACAAGAGTAGTGGCAGGGGGTGCCAATTAGGAAACCGGTGAGGGGGACGCAGTTTGAGATGCCACTGGGTTAGACCTGGGTATTAACGGCACAAGAGGATGAGACACGGTTGGACTCATGAAGATAAAGCCAAGAGAATAGAGATGCATTAGTAGTGGGGTATGATGAGAAAATCCTGGTAAAAGATGACTACGTTCCTTGCTCTGCGCAACTAGGTGAACGGGAGTGCCATTTACTGAGAGGAGAAAGACGTAAGAGCATGTTTGGGGGGAAGAGATCAAGAATTCTATGTAAGATAAGGAATGTGTACTTGCAAAAAGCTCCCAGGTGACCAGGAAACGCCTTTCCCTTGCACATACCACCTAGTTGAGAACCGACCAGCTACTGGAACAGAGATGCTCTCACAGCAGTGCATTCTCAGTATGCCAAAAACTATGACAGATTACTCAACAACCACGCAAAGGGAAGGGGAGCATCTTTACCTAGCGAGATGACAGTCTCATAGTTTTCTTGCATTACATCATTGTAGAGGGCCTTCTGACTGGGATCCAGTAACTCCCATTCTTCCTGAGAAAAATACACGGCCACTTCTTCAAATGTCAACAAGCTCTAAAGAAGAGAATGGGCTTCAGCTCCATACCTGTCACCTAAGAAGCAGCCCTGCCATTTGGCCCTCGAACTGCATGGTAGGCCAGGCACTG